ACAAGGCAAAAGTTCTTTTTGAATCTCATTTGGCAAAGAAACCAAAGATAGTTTTTATTAGTGTTCACCCAGATTACTTAAAGTTTTATGTAAGAAAGGCAGTTACAATAATTTCTTACCTTTCTGCTTTCCGCAAAGCAAAGTTAAATTTGGATCTCAAAGTATGTAATATATAATGACTTATGTTAGTAAACTTCGTTATTTTCAAAATGAATCTTAACTGTGAATGAGGTTTAATTTTTGGCATACAACCACATTTTTTAAATTTCAAGTCCTGAGCAAAAATCATGATAGAAGAAAAATTAATTCTTTTGCATTTGGTGGTGCGCACAACTCCTTCCTAAGTTGGAATAATTATTTGGATAAAGACTTTGGTTTCAGCCTTTTGAGCTGACCAATGGAATTGGTTGGCAGGACACTTCATTTTCGACACCTACCCAAGTTCGTCATAAAATTTGCGACTGTTCATATTCGTTTCATTTATGGAGAAAAGTATGTCCTATAATGCTGCCAATATTCATCAAACTCCTTGTCTGTAAGGAACTCCATCTAAGCCTTATGAAGAGATCTAAGAACGGTTGTTCTCTCTACCTTGCTTAAAGGATCAGTATTCTTTCCGACCAATTTTCTACCATGGACATTGTGTGATCTTCGACTACGAGTGTCTTACGAGAAAAGGGTGAAAGGCGCCCTCAAGAGGAGGCATTTGGCTTCGGACTTTAGTTCAATGATATACAATCACTGGAAAAATGGAAGGAGCTCCTAGAAAGTAATGACCCTGATTGATTGATTTTGATTTAGACCGTTAACACTTCAAACAGAATTGCATTTTAGGTAAATTTGAAGACGCAATAATTTTTGAAAAAAAAAACCTTGGCATCAAAAATGCTACTTTAATTTGCGTGATTTCATTCTCAGCTCAAAGAGAAAATAATTTTGAATGAGCTGGTGACATGGCGAATGAAGTTCTGCAGATAATAAAAAATCATATGTAAATCACTTGATTAAATATAATAACAATTGGAAAAATGAGCGTTTGGAAAATCATGGAGAATGTAAG